ACAGCCCCTCGTTTGTTGTCCTCTTCTCTCTCTCTGCCTACGGTTTACCGGGCAGTTTTGTTTGTGATGATATATATAAAATCAGCCTAAACTGTTGAAATGCAGACCCCAAGTTCGAACTCAGACGGTATCTGGATTCGAACTGACGTTATCTGGATTCGAACTTGGGTCTGCATTTGAACAGTTTATGGGTGTTGTACCAACTACTGAGATGTCACCTCGAAATAATTTGCTTAATGGAAAAATAAAAAGGAAATGAAAAACATCAAACCAGGACATCCCCCCTTTAAACCCCGTTACGCTGCATTAAGCTCCTAGATACCTCCCCTTTTGCCGCCCTCACCCCAAACAACACTGGAAAAAAAAAGAAGACCCCGGATGGAGGCTGCTTTCGGTGGTGGGTGCAGAAAAGCCCAACCGGCGGAAGACGAAAATAGAAATTCCCGGAGTTGTTGCATGCCCATGGCGGGGCTAGGTCCCACTTGCACGAATTAAGAGATACCGACCGTAGATAGCAAAGATCAACGGCCGACGAAATCTCCTAATTTGTGCAAGCGGGACCTTGCCCATGCCGGCGGATGGCCAGGCAACCTGCACGGGTGCCAGGGCGGGCGCCTCTGGTAGCCATAGATTTCGGCATTGTTTGAGGACTCCTTACTTTCCTTTTTTTGGAAATAACTATTTTTTGGGAAAAAGAAATCACTTTTTATTTCCAAATTGCGAGAACTCCATACTGGTAGTTTGATGCTGAAAATAATAAAAAAGAAAAAGTCCAAGAAAACAAACAGAACTGCTATTTGGATCGGACTTTAACTTTTGTTACAAGTTTCATAAAAAAAAAAAAAAAGGAAAAAAAAAAAAAAAAAAAAAAAAAAAAAAAAAAAAAAAAAAAAAAAAAAAAAAGAGAACTGCTTTGATCTTTCTGGTGCTTTTTTCTAGAATCCTATGTATGCTGTCAAATTGTGTAGAATTAACTAAGTTTAAATTATGCATATAATATATTTTATTATTTTTCTCTTTTTTGTTTTTTCTCCCTTGAGCGCGGGCCATGCTAATCTTCTCTGTAACATTCTAGGTTTGTAATGCTTGCCAGATATTCTTGCAATCAGACTCGCATGCTTCGTCACTTCACATGCATACAAACAGATGGTGAGTCACACTGGCGCATAGCGCCCAACTCAAAGCTCGAAGATATGGAAACCAAGACACAGTTCAGATGCAAACTCGTTTCAACAGGCTATGGTGCATCAGCACCCACACATCGCAACTCTCGTCACTGCGTCCAACACCACTGTTCACTTCACCCTTCAACTCCGGATCACCCTGGATACCCCACGCCCACACTCTGCACACACGCGAATGCACACCTATTACTAACTATGGCAGCTATGGCCGCCAACTAACTCTACTCTATAAGAAGCTATGGCTGCGCTAACTCCCTCTAGCCCACTTCGACTTCAGGCTCCTCTGCAGACCACCTCGCACAAGTCACCGTGGCAGCGCTTCCGCATGGCTTCCGCAGGAATGAATGAATGGCTGTGCGCTGCCTCTTGATTTATACTTCTGTAACTCGTTGGTCTGCCCCTTTCCATCGGCCCATGGTGCACACAGTCCC